TTGCTTTTGGCTTGTTGGTACTCTTAGAATAAATTCCTAGAGTGGAGTTTTTATGTCAGATGGCTTGAGCGTTTTTAAGACTTGTGATCGTCATTACTGAATTGTTTTCTCGGTGCATTTATGTTAATCATAATGAATTCTCTACTGAAAAATGAACCAACCAAAATGTTGTATGCTTGGCCTCATCACTAGGGTTTTGAGCATTAAATTCTGGCGGCGTGCACGAGAGTGTACTTGTGTCAGTGTGGAAGTGCAACATCTAGGTGTTAAATTCTGCTGCTGGCATTAAAAGGCAATGTAGACCATCACAGTAAGGAATCCATGCCATGCAGACACTGGAGCCTGCCCTTCACTAGCTGTGAGACCATGAATAAGTTATTTATCTTCTGAACCTCAATTTCCTCACCTGTGAAAGGGGATGTAATTAATCATTTATGTAGATGGAGCTTAGAGTAAGAGAGGGCTGGCTAGCGTACTCTGGATTCTTCCGTTTAGCCATCACATGTGACTTGAGAAGTTACTGAATTGATTCTAAACATCCAAGACCTTTCTCATCCCCTCTCACCTCCTTTCCCAGCCCTCACTCTGGGTTTCAGAACCTTCTGAGGAGTCTCTTAGCCTCATGTCTTCCTGAGTCTGTCTCCCATCTTTAGTTATCTCTAACTCTGGAGGACACTTGGGAATCAGCTAATATAATCCTGGGTATTCTGCATCCCTTTCTAGAAGGTGATTGAAGTTTTTGAATAGTCACATTTGTTGGTTGAGCTACTTCAGTACTGCTTACTCTCATGAGTAATAAGGAGATGTGAAGCACCTTTTTCCACCCCTTCATTTTTCTGTGTCTAAATTGTGGCATAGGATATGTTTTTGAAATCATTTATTTCGTGGCCTCCTGCTATTGGACTTAAGGGGAAAGTAATAAAACTATCCTGAAAGTGGGGCTGACTCTCTTGAATAAAAGCTGTGGTTTTTTTGCCCACTGTGACCTGAGACATTGTCTGGTGAGGGCTGACTGGAGACTCAGCCCATTCAGCAAGCCCTGGCAGTGGTCTTGAACAAGTTACTTAAGGTCCTCAGCCTTAGCTTCCGCACCTGTAACTGTCCAGTGGGGCGAGACAGCTCACGTAATGAGCCTTTAAAATTGTCCCGGGGGGCCTCCCTGGTGGCGCAGTGGTTGAGCACTGGGCTGCCGGGCTTCCTGCAGCCTCTGCAGCGCTGGTTCAATCCCCAGCGGGCAGTCGCCCGCGAGGGTCCCACATAGCGCACATACCTCTCCTGCTGCGTCTGCTGCTCCCCTCAGCTTTGCACTTCGTCAGTCTGCCTGTTCTGTTACCCCGCTCTGGCTCTGGTGAATTCTCTCACCCTCCTGTGCTTATGACTGTACCCAATGCTTGTATAAATAAATAAATAAATCTTTTTTTAAAAAAATAAAATTGACCCGGTTGGGGGGGGGGAATAAAATTGTCCCTGGGACCCAGTGAGCTTTCAAGGTTCATTTACCTCAAATATCACCTCTAAATAACATTCTCTTCTCCCCTAAAATTTTAACTCTATTAATCTTATAAATTAATAGATTATATCAAATAAGGTAATTATAAAATCTTACAAATTTCCTGTTAGTTCAAAAAACTGTATTTTATGGGGGGGATTCTACGAGTTCTGCACATGTCTCTGCCAGCTGTCCCTTCTGCAACTGGGGAGGGAGTAGCCCCAGACTGGTGTGGGGCTGAACTAACTCCTGAACCCAGACCTGAGGGCATCAGCGGCCAGGACGGGAGGGTCTGGCATGAAGCCCCATTGATCTCCTAACCTACTTCAGCCCAACTCTGACTGGTGGGCAGCTGTGTTTTGGGTCTCCAGGAAATCAGGTTATTCAGAACAGGTGTTGGTAACCCCTGCAGATTTGACAGTTTTCCTTCCTCTTTGCACAGTCACCTTGAGGAGTTAGAAGATTAGGACCTTGACTGGTCAGGAGAGGAAAGTAACCTAGGAAATGAGGCAGGTGTCAGGTAGGTTGCTCTTCAGCCTGGGCCTTAAGGTGCACATTCAGTTACACTTGTAGAGATTTGATCTTTTTATGCAGTGAGATCACCTCAAAGAGTAAGTCTGGTCTGGCTAGAACATGGGTTTTAGCTCTTACTCTTACATCTGAGAAATGTGATGGGATCTCCCACTTACATTTTCTGATTTGTTTCTGTGGCCTGCAACACTGGGGTTATTAGAAATCAGTGACTTCCCAGTATTCGGCTCTTGTCTGGTGGAAATGTTAGTGATGTGATTCCTCCAAGGTATCTTCCACTCTGCAAAACGTATTTGCCACCTGTGACTTAACTCACAATGTGTAAATGTCTCTCTCATTGGGGGATGAGAAGACTGAGAGTTCAGAGACTTGGCTGAGGATCTAGTCATCTTTCCAACACACTTAAGTCCAGAAACCACCCAGCAAACCCATGGCAGAGTTGGCATCTTTACCCAGACTCTGTGCCTTCTGGCCTGTGCTCGTCCTGATTACTTCACCCTGCCTGGCTTCTCAATAGACGTATCTTGCGCCACATCCCTTCCCCATCTTGCTGCGAGGTAGCCAAGAGGCCCTGGTGGGCAGTCTTTCTGAGGTGAGGGACTGGGATTCTAACGTGCCTCTCCAGGTTTTTAGTGGGTAGCTGGGGTTTCCTGCATGAAAGCACATGCTGCAGTTCTCTTGAAGTAGGCCCAAGACCCTCATCCGCGCAAAGAAGTGCTTTTTGTCTCAGGATACATAGCTGTGTTCCCCAGTTTCCATTCTGTCATGCTAACTGATGTGGTGTCTGCTAAGAAAGTTGTTTCCTGTCCAGAATTTTCCTCTCAATAAACAGCCCCCTACGGTAGCATCTCCTGAGCTGAGCTCATCCCCAGTGCATGCCCCTCCCTCCCAGGTCTCATCAGCCCAACCCACTCACTAATTCAGGGCATTTTTTTTACCCTTTTTTTCTGTCCCTGGATTCTCATAACCTGGACTTACATTGTAGTGTGTTTTGCAGGCTTGTTTTCTTTTTACTTCAGTTGCTGTAGTTACCAACTTTGTATATAAAGTAATCATCGTTCCCCACCCTTTATTTCCCCACTACAAGTTTCACTGTTTTCTGATGTTGCCTTTGCAGAAGGAATTTGATGACTTTTTAATCATTTCCTTTCTGGCTCTATCACCAGCAAAATTTCTTGCTCTCTTTTTTATGGCTCTTTACTCCAGAGTCCAGATTGGTTTGCTCTTAAGATGATGGCTTCATTTTGTGGTCTTTTTAGATAAAGAATCTCAACCCTGTAGAACTGATGACCTAGAAGGAGGAGTATGAGATGGGAAAGAATTGATTTTTAAAAACCCATCTGCCCTAAACTGGTTCTACCTGCATTACTTTGATTGTGAGTAATATAAACAAACAAATTACATAATTACGGGGGAAATGAAGCCTGTCCGATCATGGTAGAAAAAGCTTGCCTTGTCCATCTAGTCATCCTGCCTCAACCTAGAATTCCCATACCGCTGAATTCGGCAGACTGCGTGTCTTGGTAATTTCCAGGCATTTGTGTTAGTGGGGTATCATACTCTCAAGAGAGTAAATGACTGGTAAAAGGAACCCTTTAGTAGAGGCAATAGGACAAGATGCATCCTTTGTTTTTGGTCAACAGGAGACACTGTCCAGGGACTCAGAGGACTTGTCTTTAGGCCACGGCTCGGTCACGAACAATTCATGTTACCACCTAGGGCAGGGTCAGATGCATCAGCTAGGAAGGACTTCTGCCCTCTTAGACTTAGCTTTTGGGGCAATTGTTGTCATCAAAGAACTTCCATGGAAGGGCTCAAAGTCAGTGTGCCATTAATTGCTCTATTGGGATTTGCTGGTAGATGTCAACCATCAGCTTTCCTAGAGTATCTCGGGGTTCAAAAGGAAAGGCTTTTTGGAAAGGCACAGTGTTTATATACCCACTGTGGACTACTGTTCCACCAGACTTACCATTTTAGATTTCTCCTGTTTCATTTTCCATTCCATCTCAACCTAGAATCTCCTCCTTCTCTGCTGATTGCTCCCTGTCCTTTAAGGGTAACCCACTTCTTCCCCTTCTTGCTGCTTCAGATCTGGTGACACCTGCTAACCCTTCCCTGTTATGAAAGCTGGGCCAGATGCAGATGCACGGCTTGTGACAATTGCTGTCATGATACCTGTTGTCTCCCTGAAACAAAGCTTCATGGAGACAGGGCGCATTATGTATCTGACTTGTGCCAGGCCTGTGGTGAGCAAGCAGGAAACACTGCTGACTTGGAGTGTGCCTCTGAAAAAAAAATTTGTAGTGCCTTTCTGGATACACTGACCCAGACTCATCATACCAGTCAGGAAAGAAGGGGGGAAGGGCATTTGCTTGGCGTGGAGCAACCCAGACACTTGACAGCCTTCTCATGCTTTCCCGCATCTCCGGGAGGTGTGCTGGTGTCTTTTGGGATGCAGTATAATGAAACAGCGGCTTTGCCATCGAGTGGATTTGAGTCTCAACTCTAAGTCTCTGAGCCTCAGGTTAACTTTATAAGATGGGACTATGTCCTCCTCCCTCCTAGAGTGGTGGTGAATTCTAAATTGAATGCCATGTGCTATTGAAGCACTCCTGTAAGTGCTTATATGGGACTGTTTACTGGAGAAGCAGCAGCAGTAGAAATCTGGAAAGGTGAGCTAAGTTGCCTCCTGGCTGTCCAACCAGTCAGTGGTCCGTAGTCAGCCAGAGTCACTACCCAGCGCACGGGGCTCCGAACCCAGGTGCTTCACACCAGTCCCTGCAGCCTCTCCCGCCTGGACTCCCCCAGTGTGAGTAGGGACGGGGCTGCATGTGCAGAGTTGGCCCCGTGCCAGCACTGGTCCTCCTGGATTGGAGCAGTTGTCACCACTGTTCCTCTTTAATGTGCTGCCGTCCTTAGTCTGAAGGTGGTGTGAACTGTCCGTCTCACTCAAGCTCTTTCCGGTCTTCCTTTGATTCAGGAGAAAGGATCCTGGGTTATGCTGAGGAGCCTTGCTATCTCTGGTTTGTCATGGAGTTCTGTGAAGGTGGAGACCTGAATCAGTACGTCCTGTCCCGGAGGCCAGACCCAGCCACCAACAAAAGCTTCATGCTACAGCTCACGAGCGCCATTGCCTTCCTGCACAAAAACCACATCGTGCACAGGGACCTAAAGCCAGACAACATCCTCATCACAGAGCGGTCTGGCACCCCCATCCTCAAGGTGGCAGACTTTGGACTAAGCAAGGTCTGTGCTGGCTTGGCCCCCCGAGGCAAAGAGGGCAATCAAGACAACAAAAATGTGAATGTGAATAAATACTGGCTGTCCTCAGCCTGCGGCTCAGACTTCTACATGGCCCCTGAAGTCTGGGAGGGACACTACACAGCCAAGGCAGACATCTTTGCCCTGGGCATTATCATCTGGGCAATGATAGAAAGAATCACTTTCATTGACTCTGAGACCAAGAAGGAGCTCCTGGGGACTTATATCAAACAGGGGACCGAGATCGTCCCTGTTGGTGAGGCGCTGCTAGAAAACCCAAAGATGGAGTTGCACATCCCCCAGAAACGCAGGACTTCCATGTCTGAGGGGATCAAGCAGCTCTTGAAAGATATGTTAGCTGCTAACCCACAGGACCGGCCTGATGCCTTTGAACTTGAAACCAGAATGGACCAGGTCACATGTGCTGCTTAAAATTCAGGGCAAAGCATCTTGGGTGTTTTTTAAACTAGGTGAGTGTCCTTTTTGTTCTGCATGCACACTTACTGGACTGGATTCTTCATCTTGGGCCCTGCCTTAGGCCCCATGGATTGGGGAGAAATGAGGGGTGAACTAAGTACTTGTTGTCAAAGACTCCCCACCCCAATCTTGAGAAGGAGATAGGTGGAATTATTTGAGTACAAGTACAAAGTCTAGTGGAAATTGGAAAGTTTTCTGAGTAGGGAGTGTATTTTAGCTGAGTCTCTTAAGGTTTTAGAAACACTTTCTCATCCATTAATAAATGCTTATTGTAGAAAATACAAAAGCGGTCTGGACAGCTTTTTTCAGAGAGTGGACATCATCCCTAGCATATCTCTCCTCATTCCAGTTCCACGTTCAGATCATACGGAGTGTAGTCTTGTTTCTTTCTCTTGTCACTCAGCACTAACCTGAGCATTTCCCCATGTGATGTTTCGAGTATGGCTTCGATGATTGTATGACATTCCATTATATGTACCACATATAATGTAACCTTTCGCCTGCTTTGATAGCACATGGTTTCTCCATTTAGGAGAATGTGCGAGGGAATATTCTTACGTGGAAGTCTTTGCTTATTTAATAGGTTTACTCTGGGTTTCATTTGTCAGGTACTGTGCTAGGTTCTGGGGTAACTGGTAAGCAGACACTTACCACAGCCTCATAAATTCTGCACCGAAGTTAGGAAAAGAAGGAAACTAATATTTATCATAATTATATGATGAAAAAGTTAAGGGAAATTGACCTCTCAGGGAATGGTGCCCAGAGCCAAGCCCAGCCGGGGGGGAGGCAGGGGCATTCCCAGACGCGGACAAGCCTCTGCAAAGGGCCTAAAGCCAGAAGAACGCTGGCACACTGGGGAGACCCCACAGTTCCACAGTTGGAGCCAGTGAAGGATGTAGACATGGAGTAAGCACAGAGCACAGTGACTTAGCAGGAGAGTGGGCAGAGCTGAGGCGGAAAACCCAAAAATGTGTGCTCACAGCAGCAGCAATAGTTGAGTTTGGCCAGAGCAAGGAAGCTAGGATCAGAAATTGGCTGAAATATGGGGCCCTGGAATTTGATGACCTTGACTTAGGCATTTGGGAGCCATCTGCAGACCAGAGCAGAACAACCAGCATCAAGAACTTAAGCATGTGCAAGCTGAAATGAGGAAAATACTGGAAACTGGGAAACCAGTTGGACCAATTATTTTATTCACACTCATAAGGGATGTGGTTAAACCGGAAACTGAGCAGCACTGATGGGGGAGTACCTGGATCGTCCAGAGCAGAGATTTGACAGGACAGTTGGCCAGATGTGGAAGTAAAAGATAGAAAGTGATAGGTATTGGGAGGTTAATAGTAGTAGGCACGAGTGCTGACCCTGTGTATGGGGCAGATTTCAATTGTTTTCCTAAACAGAAACCTTTGGACTTGTTTTGTGGGAAGGAAAAGTAAAAAATACTGTGTATGTTACATATTTTCACATTTGGTTTCACCTTTGCAGCCTGTAAGGGGTTAAGTCGCTTATCCAATATCCTAATTTAAGGGCCCCTCCCCCTTTTATCTTAAGATTACAGGTAGCAAGCTGCAAATAAGTTACTGTTGTACTTTGCTGAGGCCTGAGATGAGGTGATGGGGATGGTGCTGACCCCAGTGATCATAGAAGGAGCCTCAGCACATCCAGCACAGTGCCCCTTGCCACCTGGGTGGGTCCTTAGTCACTTCCTTCCCTTGTCACCTCAGGTTTTTAGTTGGAATGGGTTAATAGTGGTTGCTTCTGCAGTGTTCTCAGTGAACTTCTGGAGTGAGTCAGCTGGTCTAATCCTTCCATTCTATCAAGTTATTGAGTTATTGAGATGCCAGGTCAGTTTGTCCTGCCCAATGAGTAAGAGAATTGTGTTCCTTAAAGAGAGGCTTGGGGGGAATACATTGGAGCCCCCGGAACACTTGGCTAGACACTTGTTAGTTCGAACTGTCACTTCCCATTTGCATCTCCGCTTTTCAGCTTTTAAAAAACCTCTTAGAATTCGAGTTTGCCCAGGGGTAGGAAGAAGGTTGTCACTGGAAGCGGGACCTGAACATGGGTTAGGATTATGGGGCTGTCACAACTAATTGAGATCTAGGCTCCCATTTGGACATCCACATTTGAATTTGTGTTATTTTTCAGGACTAAATTGGAGTGAATCAGGTAGGAGAAATAGGTGACCTTGGGATGAGAAAAGATTAGGAGGAGCACGGGTACTGCTGAGTGTCCCAGCCTCTGCCAGCTTATGAGATAGTACCGGGCCAGTTGGTGCCTGCCTGACAGTAGCTACCTCCCCTGTGCAAGCCAGGCCCCATCTGTGACCAGGAGCAGAGCCTTGTGGTGCCAGAGGCTTTGAGTACTTGTATAAATGAGCTCTGTCTGGCTGGATTTAGGAGGAACTGTTCAATCAAGCTCCCCTCCCCCTTCCCTCAAACTTTACAGAAAGTGAGCTAATTCCATGTATTCATTTCATCTTTATTGGGAAACTACTTGCCAGGGACTGTTTTAGGCACAGAAGATATGTTAGTGATCAAAACAGACAAAACTCCGGCAGTTGTGGAGTTTACCTTCTTTTGGGTTTACCTTCTTTTTGGTAAACATAGGTGCTACCTAAGTAAGTTCTGTGGGGGGCAGGGGGACAGCAGAATGCTGGCGGGTGGGGAAGGGAGTGGTAGAGATCAGGGTGTATCTCCTTTAGACAGTGACATTTGCACAAAGGTTAGAAGGAGTTAAGGGTGTGAGTCAGGAGGGTTTCTGGAGAAAGCCTTCCAAAGGGAGCCAACCAGCCAGGGTAAAGGCCTGGTAGTGAGCAAGGAGAGAGTGTAGGGGAAGAAGTTGGGGAGGTATCTAGGAGTCACTTGAGTTGGGCTGGAAGGCCACTGTAAGGATTTAGACCTTTATTCTTAGGTGAGATGAAAGCTACTGGTGTGTTTTCCGCTGCGTGTTAATATCTCATCTTTTAAAAGGATAGCCGGCTGCTTGCTAACAGTGAACCGTAGGGGAGAAAGTGAGAGGATAAGATGGAAGACCCTGTAGTAATCCACGTGTGAGAGAGAAATAGTGGCTTTGAGCAAAGAAGTAGAGGAGGTGGTGATTGGATTTTGGGTGAATTTTCAAGTCAGCCAACAGGATTTCCTGCTGGATTAAATCTGAGGTGTGAGAGAAAGGAATTAAGGATGTCTCCAAGGTTTTGGTCTTGGAAGCCACTGCAAGGATAGAGTTGCCACTAAATGAGATGGGGAAGGCACTGGGAGGAACAGGTTTGGCTAGAAAAGGTCAGGTTTTAGTCATCTGAAAGTAAGAATGCCAATTTAGACACGTATAGCGGCGGAGCCTGCAGTTGGGTTAGTTTGAGTTTAGGGAAGAGATCTGGTGTAGAAGTAGAAATTCAAAGGTGGCCAAGACACTGGAGTATGGAGAAATGTTTATTTTTTTTTAAAGATTTATTTATGCATACAAGAGCTGGGATGCAGGCCAGAGGTGCAGGGGGTGAGAGGATTCACCAGAGACAGAGTGGGGAACAGAACAGGCAGATTGACTGAAATACACTGGTGAGGGGAGCAGCGGGTGACACAGGTCTGCTGTGCCATGTGGGTTAGCTCCCTGCCTGGGGTTCGAACTGGTGCTGCAGTAGCCGCTGATAGCTTCATAGTGCTGATGCTTAAGCCTTGCGCCACCAGGGGGGCCCCTGGAGAAATGTGTAAAGAATGACTGAGCTCTGGACCATCCAACACTGAGATGGTGGGGATGGTGTGCTCTCCTGGAAGCCAAATGAAGGCATTCTGGAGAGGATGTGGTGAGCCATGGTGTGCACAGTGTGCTGGGTGAAGGGGCACTTCTTTCTGCCTGCTGGGCATCGTTCCTGGGGAGTCAGCAGTGCTCATGAGCAATTCAGGTGGCACATAATGGTGGGAACCCCATTCTGGAGTGGGTGTGAGCAGGAATACAAGGAAAGGAAATGGAGACAGTGAAAGAATAGACTGATTTTCAATTTTTGGTCTGAAAGTCCCACTGCATCTTTGAAATTGAGGACTCCAGGGGGCTTTCTTTTTGGGTTATATTTATGGATATTTGCAGTATTAAAAATCAAAATTAAGAAGAGCTTTAAATGTTCCTCTTGAATGAGTGAATAAACAAGTTTCATGTTAACTATCAGGATTTATGAAAAATTACTTCAAAAATAAAAAATTTCAGTAAGTAGCTTGGAGGTATTTGGGATTTTTATAACTCTTTCATATCTGCCTTAATAAGAGCTAGGTTCTCATATTTGCCTCTGCCTTATACACTGCTACCATATCATTCATGAAACATCTAGAAAACTCCACTGTACCCATAGGAAAGAATGAAAGTGAAAAGGGCAGCTTAGTATTATGGAAGGGTTAGTTTCATGGGTTCCTAAACTGAAATCCGTACTGTGAGAACTAATGGTACAGGTTGCTGTGAAGGGGAGCTGAGAAGTAGGGGGCAGCTTGGCAGCCTGCCAAGCTGATGTTGCAGGTGCCACCATGCACGTGTTTCCAGGGAGGTGGTTGTGGGATGGGGACTCTGCTTCCATGGCTAAGTTTGCTGTCTGGCAGGGCGTACCTGGAGATCTAGAGAGAAGGGAATTATTCAAGGTTCCAAGTGAAAGGACAGAACTTGATGTCCCAGTTCCTAGCCACCATTCCTATTAGACTTATTGGTGGGCTCAAATTCTGTATCAGAAACACGCTTGTCCCAGTACCAGCAGGATAAAGAGAAACCTCTATAGTCTAAGGTCTTAGATTTCAAAGTGGCACTTAAACCAAAGCTACATGGTTTTCACTTTTTGCAGCAATGAACTGGAAATGTGCTTTGGGTTGGAAACATGGGGTTCCCCTGCAAGGAGTGTTGCTTAGTGGGCTGTCCAGGATTGAGGCCCATTTCTGTGGTTTACTGGTTATGTGACTTCAGGCTTATTAATTCACCTCTCTCAGTTTTATTATCCATAAAATGGAGTAGACCACATTTATCTTCTTAAGGTTGTCAGGAGAATCATAGGAGGTTGTGAAAATGCTCTCTATAAACTGTCTAAATTTAAATGCTAAATGGTAGAATTTTGGATATACACTTTGGCCGGGGGTAGAAGTATTGTCTCAGCTTCCATCCCCCTCTGAAGATGGTGGCTTTTAGTAGCCATGCTTAGGAGAATTAGCAAATGCCTTTTAAAAAAAAAAAAAAAAAGCTGTACTCAAGGCAACTCTGTCCCAATTGGTTGTTCCCAAAAAGTGTATCTATTTTTAAAAATTACTCAATGATGGGTCCTATTTCTCCCTTATTTGTCACTTTGGAAGATGTTTAGTAATCTCTGACGGTTGCTATCAGCCAACCACGGGCCTTATCCAAGCGGGAAGCCTGCCAAGCCGATGTTGCAGGTGCCACCACGCACGTGTTTCCAGGGAGGTGGTTGTGGGATGGGGACTCTGCATCCATGGCTAAGTTTGCTGTCTGGTAGACAAACCTTGGTTACTAGGGCCTTCTGAAGCCAGGGCCCTTGAATGACGTTTATTTGGAGTGGGCTGCTCAGGCCTGCTGAAGGAAATCAGATGTTGGTGTGACCTGAGGGGTCATAGAAAATATTCTTGCTTCATATGCAATATTGGTGCTTGCCTAACGCCAGAGAAGGAAATCAGGCCGAATTTTTTATTGAAGTAATAAATGACAAATTTATCCCTGACTGGGATCCAAAGATGTGCCTGGGTGTCCTGGGTCAGCCCCATGACCCGGACTTCAGGTTTTGCTTTTGTTTTATGAGATCTGAGGGTTTTTAATCTGGGGGTCCAGAACTCTGGTTGCCTCCCTGGCAGTCTGAGGTGGATTCATAGGCCTTTTCGGCTCATCTGCTAGTCAGTAGCATGTTAGTTGATCGGGAAGCTGTAGAAGCCAGTTCAGATCATGCACTTCTTTTTGGCTAGTGTGATGCCCAATTGATCACATCCTACGTATCAAGTTAAGCGGAAGTGATACTGAAAACTGAAACATGGAAAACAAACACTTAATGTGGCTTTAAGCAGCATCATCTTCAAAACGGGCCCTGGAGGGTGTAAATTAAAAGGTTTTGGGGTGAGAAGTTAGAAACCCACAGGTACATAGGTCTCCAGTCCCCTCTTGTTAAGTGTGACTTCTGGCCCAGCTGTCCGGCCTGTCCATGAACTAACGCAGGAGCACATGAGGCATCCCTTTCCTGTCAGAATTGACAGATGAGACTTAGCCTCTGGGGCGTGCAGTCCCTGCCTGAAGCGTCACCTGGTGAGTGTAGAGGGAGAAGGGGTAGGCTGTGAAGGCGGGCAAAGTGTCCAAAAATATCACTGATGATGTTTAATGAGTGGTGGTGGTGGTGAGTAATGAGCGTTCCTGGCCTGGGTGCTTTTTGACTGTTATTTCACTTTCGAGTACTTCTAAATGTTACAGAACTAATGGCAAAACCGATGTTTGAACCGAGATCTTATATCCTTAGTTGTAACCAGTGTGATACATTGCTTCGTTGAAACATCTATAAACTCCAAGTGTTTTCATGATTGAATTCAATTGAGCATCAGTTGAATTTCCTGCCCTTCTAGCCCAGCACACTTGCGATAACATGGACGTGAGTACCTGACACTGCCTGGCACTTAGGGAGGTTCGAGTTAAGTGTGCGCTGGTATATAACTAGATAGCCCAAAGGAAAGTTAAGCAAGGGGACTTCATGGAGCAGGTGTCATTATAGAAGGGACTAAAGTGTTGATTTGATTCTTACACCTCAGGCTCATCTTGCTTCATCTCTGAAGACTTGAACTGCCCAAAGCGGGGGGAGGGGGGAATGCCAACCATACCTGAAGAGCCATAAAGAGGGAGGGTTTACTTAAAGAGAGCATGAGGAAAGGGAGTTTAACCAGTGATGAATGGTTCTTTGATCCATGCTGATTCTAGACCCTCATACCCTTTTCCAAGTCTGAGTCCCTGTCTGTGTAGTGGCCTTGGCTTACCCTGTCTCTGGAACTTGACAGCAGGCGCCCTGGAGGGCTTGTGAGAGAACAATCTAAGGCTGAGCCCTCACTGCAAGGACTGTAGCCCTAGGGGCTGGTATACAAAGGGACCTTGGGACCTTATCTGTCTACTGGTGTTTTCTGGGAGTTTCCCCCAGGTGGGGACGGCTGATATTTGTGAGGCCAGTAAGCTCCCTAAAGGGGGCCTTCGCCCCTGCTGTTGCCAGCATGACACTGATGCTCAGCCAGGAAGCTAAGCTGTTGGTTGTGTCACGGGGCTGGCGGCCCCCAGGGATAATCCATCCCTGGAACCTCAGCAGAACATCAAAGCACCCTTGAGGGGACAGGCCTGCCCCGAGGCTGCTACTGTTCACATCCTCCTCCCTGGCATTCTGGCCCCACCTAACCTAGATAGTATCTCTTTGGGCAAATCAAAATAGTCCTGTAATCATCCAGTGTGAGTGCGGGATGACTGGGATCCTTCCAACTCCAACTTCCTCTGGCCCCAGAGACACAAAGACACTCCCATCGGCAGCTCCTGGTTATTAAAACCTGCTGTGAGCCTGCCTCTGACCTACAGGGCATGGCTCTCCCCTTCTAGAGCTAGCCCTGAATTCAGCATTTTACATAAATTATTATCACATCTGCATGACTTTTGTTTTGCTATTATTTTGCAGATGAAGAAGGTGGGAGTTATTTTCCTGAGGTTTTGAGACTAGGGTTTGAAACAAGGCGTCTGACAGGAAGTTCCATTGTTCCATTCTGCCTCTTAAGAAACTTTGATGAATTCATATTTTGAGGCCTGTGATGGTTTCCCCCCAGATAGCGTCACCCAGGTGTCCCCTTAGGTGTTCATGTCCAGTGCTGAGCCTGGGTGCCCAGTTGTGGGGCTCCCATCTGCCTCTGCAGCTGAGGTTGGCTTGTGTGGGGGTTCCTGTGTCACTGATGCAGCCCCAAACATGGGCAAGTGAGGCATGCCTTGGATAGTGAGGCACCCACTTAACCAGGGGTTGGGCAACAGTGAGCCGAGCCGCACAGGCAGGCAGAGGTCCCAAAGCGCGCCCCGCCTGAGCACTGGGACGGCTCCGCACCGAGGAAGTGCTGACAGTGGATCAGCCTGTGGCTCCAGTGTAAGGGAAGGGGCTGGCAGGACCCAAAGGCCGCCTAGTGGCTCCACCTGGTCCCCTGGTCCCCGGGCTGAAGTCTGTTCCAAGTGAATTTAGTCTGGGCATTTGAGATTGATGAGGGCCCAAAGCAAAATGGTGCTTGCTGGGCTTCTCCCTGACATATCTTTTAGCTCATTCATTGAATCTTGAGGGGATTCGAGGGGTTTTATGCGTGCCAAGCATTGGTGTGGCCGCCTGCCAAGATTTGGTCAGCTGGAGTCCTCTGGCTCATGGCAGGCACTTAGCGTGGAGGTTGCTTCCTTGACCCTAGTGGTGTTCTTTGGAGCTCACAGTGCAGCAGTGGGGTAAGAGGTGGACACTGGTTGTAGTAGCTTGTGGCGCAGGAGAGATGGAGAGCAGAGGACACTTTTTGGAGGAGGTGCTGGGGCTGGCTCTTCATGGTAGGTTTAGGGGTGCTCTAAGCCAGGTGAGGAGTGAGGTCCCAACTCAGGGGTTGTCATAATCTCAGGCTTGGCACACTGTCTTCGATGCAGGGCTCTCAGCTGGCAAGGGGAAAGGGCACGGATCTGGTAGGGAGATTCCCAACTGGAGGTGCTTCCAGACCCCGGGCCCAGGAGAAGGCCATGGTTCTATGTTGGAAAATGTAGAGCAGCAGCTCCAGCCCCTTTGCTCATTTCCACTAGCACGTCCTCGGAGGTAGTACAAAATGAAAGCAAATGGAGACCTCCTCCAGCATTTGTAGGATTCAGAGGCAGGGCAGGCCTTAAAACTGCCAGCCAAGTTTAAAATAAATCAATACCATAAAATAGTGCAATGAATTTCCCAAGTCTAAGGGAATTTCACTTTCAGTTAGAGGTGCCAGGGGAAAGCTATAACTCAGCCTGCATCATACACAGGTCAGAATTCTGTATTTTGATTCTTTGTAAAAGAAAGTGATGTCTAGGGATTCAGAGGGATGGATTAGAGCCACCCAGGCGCACCGTTGAGCAGAGTGGGGAAGATGAAAATGCGTCCATTTTCCTAGCTGCAAAAAGCTGTGTGGTGAAGCTTATTAGGCAGGTAACCTCAGGAGGGTGGCCTTGGTTTTCAAAATTCACTCACGCCGGGGGGGCATGGTGCTAGAGCAGTCGTGGAAGGCAGGTTGGTTGGATTGTGGTGTTGACCATCTGTCCCAGGGACAGTCAGTGATGATGCGAGCCCGTTGACTCATTCTGCGTGGCTTCCACCCTTTGGGGGAAAGGAAACCCTTAAATCTCATGTACAGGACTATTTTGTTTTTATCTTTTCTGCTTTTTTCAGACATGTCTAAGACATGTCCTCCAGAAAGTTCCCAGTCTAGGGCAAATCTAAGGCCTGGGCTAGAGCTCTAGTGCTGTCAGATCTTGGCAGAATGCACGAGTCTTACCAGCACCACCCAACCCTGTACCAGACGTAGAGAACTGGGAGTCGCAAGGAAAGACTCATTTGTTGTTAGTAACCAGATTGCATACTTGGATTTGATGACTGTTTTGGACAGAACCCTGGGTTTGCATGGGGCAGTAGAAATGAAAATACCACACCCCAGACAGACAACAGGGTGACTTCTGCCTTTTTCAAAAGAAAAAAAAAAGAAAAAAAAAAACAGTAACAACAAAGAAGGTCAGCATTTAGGCCAATTGCCCAAACTGAAATCCAGACGTCACCACTGACCTGGTCCTGAGGTCCTCTTCCCTCCTGCCCCCACCACGAGCATCCCAGGCATGAACACCAACCAGGTGTGGCACAGAAAGCCTTTGGGGAGCGCATGTCATTCCAGCTCACTGTCTTGCAGGCCCTGGAGAAACGAGATAACTGCCCCAGACTCCAGTTTCCTACCCGGAATTTTATAAGTGGAGGGAACCAAGGATGTCATGAGAAGTTTCTACTTAATAGATGGAGGTTCTGTCCCATGATCCTGGAGATAGCCGCACGCTGTCACCCCTCCTCCCTGCTGCTCCTCACGAGCTCCCACCCCCAGCACACACGGTATCCATGAGAAACCTGAGCGTGGTGCTTCTCAGGGGTCCCCAGACTGGCAGCATCCCCTGGAAACTTGTTAGAAATGGGTGTTTCTGAGCCACTCACCCCCATGATGCTGGTGTTCGCTAGAGTTTGAAAACTGCCCAAGCAAAAGAAGGTAAAGACAGCCGCCCCCTTCCCCTGCGTTAAGCGCACGGCTGTCTGCCTCACCTCTCTCCCCTTTGCACTCAAGAAGTTTGGCTCTAGGCCCAGAGCTGGGAGGGCATGCTGGGTTCCAGTGCTGGCTCTGTCTCCTATAACTACCTGGCACTCAGGCCGTCGTGCACCGTGGGCTGTGGTTTCCTCATCCAGAAACCAGGGTGCCTGAAGACCACTCCCCTCAGACCTGGCACCTTCACAGTTCTGTGGCAGTTGGGGTTCTGGGGCCCGGGACTGGCTCTTGCTCCATTCCCCCCTCAGCCAGCATTTTAGTCTTTAAGAAGCAGAAAACAATTGAGCTTCTCCACGGGCTTCCCTGAGCCGGGGACTGGACTTCTGAGCCCTGACAACAGTGAGCATTGTGGATGGTCTGAGGGAAGTGCCGTCTATGGAATAACTGATCCTTTAGGCCTTTATGGTGGAAGGGGGCGTCATCCTCAGAAAGGGGAATTGAGAGGTGGTGGGGGAAGTAGCAGGAGGCAGAGGTGGAGCTCAGGTCTCTTGGTGGTGTTCTTAGACACGACTCCGAGTCCCAACTGAGCAAACTCACTTGTCCACTCCGTAAACCTCTGTGCCGGCCTTGCAGCCTGGGAATGGAGAGCCTGACTTCGTTCCATCTAAAGCGTAGGCATCTCTCTGAGCCTTGGAGCCCATGTGTAAAAGAGAGTCACTCACACTTACCCTGAGGATTCACATTAACATGAAGTTGGCAATGGACGCTGGGCACGCAGTGGACACTAAGGCTGGGAGTCCTGCTGTCCTCTAAATCGGGTCTTGACCACACCAGTCAGAGCTAAAATTAGCAGAATGTATAGAAGTTCTGTGCTGCCGCTCCTCCCCCACCAATAGAAAGGCTAGCACCCACCGCCCCAACACAGTTTTTAATTCATTGCTTATATATGTTCCAGGCACTGTGCTAGGTGCTTGTGTTACATCAGTGACTCCAGATGCGATCCCATCCTTGGGGTACTGACACCTTGGATCTCAAGGTCCATGTCATACGGGGAAACAACAGATCCAGCGTCAAGGGTGTGTGGCTGAAGGAAAGAGCAGAAATAGCAGGATGACCTGCCCATGGCTGGCAGAGAATGTAACTGCAAAGGTGACACTGGAGCAGACCCCTCAGCTGCTAAGCTGAGGGGCAAGGTAACCAGTGGGCGCATGGTGGCCCAGGTGGAGGGAGGTTGGGAGGAGACCAGGGCCCATGCACGCCAGACCTTTGTAGGTCATGGTATGTCATTGAGTGGTGGGCGTAACTCTCCGATTTGCATGTTTGCAAAGAGCCCTGTGGCTCTGTGGCTGCGAGAATTGCAGAGGCAGGTGTGGAAGCAGAGGGCCTGTTGGGAAGCTGTGGTTTCCTGCTTAGTGTGCCTGGTGCGGCGGATGGAGAAGAGTAGATTTAAGGTGCATTTTGGAGGTTTATAAAGGACTTGCAGGTGGACCGAATCAAGGAGGTGACTTGGGAGGGAGGGTCTCAACAGGGACTCTTAGTCCTGTGCCTCAAGTCACCAGGCAGGGGGGGCTAGTGAACACCGCAGGGGTAGGGTATAAATGTGCCTGGGATATATGCACTTGGGGGCATCCTTTCTCCTCGGGTCGGAGTTTGTGGTGAATTGTGAGTGATCGGGTCTTCTGAGGCTGCTGAGTGGAGTTTGGGGCTGAGCTCAGACACCGAGTAACCTCCTGAGACCAGCGCTGCCTTCCCAGCCCTTACTTGGTGCTGGGCCGAGCTGTATTCTTCCCTTTATAATCAGCTTCTCATTAGGTGATGATGTGTCTGGCTCTTCTGTGTCTTTATTTGCATATGTGCTCTACTATAAGTCTCCAGAACACAGGGTTTTGTTGCTTTTTGTGTTTACTTTTGCTTTTCAGAGCTGAGAACCTGTGCAGTGTCCTGTCACATGGGCAGGCTGGTGGTTCTGCCAGGGAGCAGCTTTCCAGCACACGCATCTTTGTGTGTGTGTGTGGTTTTTAAATAGTTATATAACATCAGGACCGTGATTGCTGACTATAAAATTGATTTTGAGAGCCACTTTAGCTTGTAAATTAGGAAATACTTTCTATTTTGGGTTAAGGAAAGGAGTTCAGGGGAAGGAGGAGAGGGGAACAGACTTTTCTGATCTCAGCTGCTTTCGGGTTTCTAAGTTGCAAGGCCCTGCAGCCTTAACCTGACATCCAGCGCGCAGGGAGGTTATGCAGTGACCATCATTTCCCGTCGGTGCTCACGGGAAGGTGTTGTGCGAGGTGTAGAAAGTGCCCGGTGCCATTCCTCGCCTGCAGCGAGGGTTCAGTAAATGGTGACTCTGTGGATTGCCCTCATCCTGTTTGTTTTTGCCAAATCCTCATAGGCTAATCATTCTTTTTCTTCACTTCTCACTAACAGTTTGCAGAGCCCTTTTTTCCTAAGAGAACGCCAAACCCTGTAGAAAGTGGCCCCAGTGCGTTCCCCTTGGCACCCGGGGCTTTGGACTGGCTGTTGTAACCAGAAGCCCATATGTTCTCCCTTTGCCCAGGCCTCATTGGGCGTGACCTCGTTTGAGTCTTTCCTTTTATAACCACAGATTGTCCTGGGCCCATATGGAAGAGCGACCTCTCCCCTGAGCTGTAGCGGCCCTGCAGACATCTTCCTTCTGGCGACGCGCCGGAAGGAGAACTCTCTCAGGAGCCCATCCTCTCCCAGAGCCGTTTCTCTACTAATCACAGCAGCCGCAGCTGAACCTCAGTCTCTTTGGGGGCCAATTGAGGCAGTCGGGCTCCTTTCATTTTATCCCCACGCTTAATAAGTTGAAGGGATTAGTTAGGGTATCCCCCTGTCCCCATAGGCGACTGCCAATTACCAGAGTTGTTTCTGGAAACCAAAAGTTCCCCTTAGTTGATCTTGAGTGAGTTCCACCCAGCTCCTGTTTACCTGCTAAGGTGCTCAGGGAAACCAGCTTCAGTGCCCTACTGGCCTCATGACTTCCCCGGGCCAGAAACATCTGCTTACAGGTATCCCCAGACCCAGGTGGGATGACACAGTGTGTCTTGTGCTGATTTCAAGTCACCAGATGTCTCCAAGATCTCAGACTCTTAGACGTCCCCCCAGTGATGCTTCTTCTTGGCAAGCTTTATTAGCATTTTTGGCAGCATTCTCCAAAAGATCAAAAGTTTTAAACAGTATTAAGCAGGGTAGCAGTGGTGGCAGCAGCAGCACTGCTGACACGTGACCAACTGTCTGCCTGAGAGCTTCCACGGTAACTGCCACTGCACTTTGCAGAGAACCAGCTTTCCACACACATGAGATAAAGGTGACATCTGTTGCGTCAGCATGCCCTCTGGGCTTGGAGCTCTGCTCATCCCCCTTCTCTCTGTGAGCCGGGCCTGCCAGGGCTTGCTGCAATTGTGTGTCCTCCTGTAGTGAGTGGGCCGTGATTGGAGCCCTCCTGGCATAGCGCTAAGCGCATCTCTTCTCAGTAGTGCCTCAGTGGCACTGAAAGGGAGTCTCAGGTTCAGCTTGAAAATCTGGTAGGAAAACACCATTGTGTCCTTAGAAGGGGCTCCGCGCCCCGAGCAGAAAGCTTGGCTCTCTGGCCTCAGTCCCTCTGACAGATTGGAATAGACGGTAGTGCCGGGGCCACTGAGCCTCCAGGGCCGAAAGCTGAGAGCGGAGTATGAAGCCAGCTGCTCTGGTGTGTTAAATAAGTAAAGAATGACTCGTTTGGAAGCTAATCCTACTTAGTAGGAAAGACCTGCCCCCTGTGACCCCAAGCTTGCCTTGCCTGTGCCCCCACAGCCTGATATGCTGAAAAGTACTATATCTGGGCCACAGTTTGCGTGTTTGCAAAATGGGAATAATTCCTACATAGTCCTTTGTCTGGGCAAAGGAGGCATTGCATTCAGCCTCTTGTGGCGCCTGGCATCTGAAATGTTTCTTTAGCCACAGCAATGATCCTCCAGATGGGACTACAGGGAGAATTTGGGTAAGAGTGAGTTCTTGGCTCCCCCCACCCCAATACCATAGTTTGCATTGAGGCAGTGCTGTGGTTTCTGAGCATGCCAACCAGGGGTCTTTCTTTTCTGTTAAGTAGATGAGAAGTAGAAAGCGACAAAGAAAGCTGGACTTGGGGTTTGAATCCCACTATTTACTAGTTATTTAAACTTTTGAACTTACTAAGTAACATCCAAGACTGAACTTCCCCATCTGTAGAGAGGCCCTTTTTCCTGGATGAATGTGCACATGGAGAGTGAGGGGGGTGTGCGAGAGGACTCCCTCAGCTTCAGAATGCTCCGCTTAGCGTAACAGGCAGCACAGACTCGTGTGCTGTGCTGCTGGCTGCCCGGCTCTGGAGGCCTCCTGCAGGGTACGTCACTGGGGATGCCAGCCGGCGCTTCATGGAGCAGCTGGGACATTTTTATACAATACACCAAAAACAGATCCTAGCAGCCAACCAGGTTATATTTCAGATGTCTAGGTCCCTGGGCTTCAGAAGTCCATCTGTGGGGTCAGCACGTCAGATAGTTCCGAGGGTACCACTTCCCACCCTCTGGCTGTCCCTGGGGCGTGACAGAAGCATACATGATTCAGAGTCAGGATTGGAGAACTCCACTCCCCCTTCACCACCTCCACTGTCTTTCATCTGTACTGAAAATATAGGACTAAAAGTTCCTGAATTAAGCCTTGGCTCTAGGTAGGTTACAGGTAAAAGGCCAATCATCCTAAGAATCAAAGCGACCAAGGACACAGCAAGAAGAGCATACTCAAAGTGCCCGCCGGGCGCCGGGGTGGACCCTGCTCTCAAGTCCCCATGCCTTACAGCAGATCCCACAGGGTAGCGAGCAATGCCGCCCTTCTTTGACAAGGAGGCTCAGAGAGTGTCGATAGCTAGTTAAGGGACCGAGCTCAAATTTGAACTCAGGACTGTCCACCATGGTCCGTGCCGTCTCCCTGCTAGAGCGCTGGTAGGAAGATGCCTAAGTAAACCGTAGTTGTGACTTCCAGAAGATTTAACTTCTGCAGTTGCCAGGCTTACGCATTTCCAGATGTGTAGAGGGGGTGGGGGTGGGGCGTAGAGAAATGGGGACTAGTTTTTTAAACTCTTCATATTTATTTTCATGAAATAAATGACATTTTGACACCAACAAAGTAAGAGGGCCATACTTTTGTAATAAAGGATAATCTTACTCAGCCAGGTGTTCTGTGTGTGCAGGTTGAAGACCAGGGGAAGGAGATGGAACATGTGAGCCCTTTGGGCCACCCCCCTCCTTGCTTGTTTCCTCTGGCTCTCCCCAACTTCTGGTCTCCAAACTGCTCATGACCGTGGTGGGGCAGTTCAGTTCCCAAGTCTCCTTGGAGAGACCAGACAACTGTGTGCCTGGCAGAGGAACTTGCCAGAAGCTGCTTCCTGCCTGCTTGGTTGGCACTATATCCCCCTTTGTGCTTTGGACACCAGACCTGTGCAGAGGTTCCCAAACCAAGCCTGCCAGGAGTCTCTCTGAGTGAGTCTATTTATAAATGAAGGGATTAAATGGGTTTTAAACTCCCCTTAAGCCCTTCTTGTCTGTCTAGGAAAGGGTTGTACATGACAGAGTTTCATGTTGAAAGCAAGAGCTTGGAGTGGTAGACCTGGGGCTGATCCCTTTTCTCTACCGCATATTAACCCTGCAGGTCTCTCTGAGCTTCAGCGTCCTATCTCTAAAACAGGGTGACAGTCGCTTGTGCCTCGTAGGGGTTTGTTAGTGAGAAGAGGTAGTAGGTGTAAAACACTAGGCGCATTCTATGCCTCAGCAGACGGAAAGCAGTGTGGGCGGGTTGGGGGCTGCCTCATTAAGTTGTGGCATAGAAAGTAGTCTGCTTCTATGGAACCCGCCTGGGCGCCCTTCGGTACTGAGGAAGTAGCTGTTCCGAGAATTAGTGCATTAAGAAGTCTGGTGTGATGAGGGGAATTAGTACAAGAGTTGAAAGAAAAGGAAGGATGTGCCAGCATACTCCCCGGGTCACTGATGCCTTTCCCCCCAGACCCCCTGCACTCGGGCTATGACAGCACCAAGGAAGGCTGTCATTGCGGGGAGACTTTGGTACTGACTCTGGAAAAGTCCGTGGATTAAGTGTTGGCTCCCCTGGTAAACAGCTCTGCCATGTGGGCAAGTCGCTCCATCTCTGGGCCTGTTCCCTGTTCACATAGAGCAGCTGCATCCCATGCGCAGGCGTGCTGAGCAGTGAAGGAGGCTTGCACCTCACCACTCTTCACTGTGCTCAGCAGCTGTGGCTTTGCCTGCCAGGAGGACTCCGGTCCTGGTTGAGACTAGAGTCCCCACAGCTGAGGTGGTCAGGGAGCTGGGTGTGGTGTCTGCCATGATGAGTAGTGAGGACCCCTAGACCCAGGGCCCACACCCTTTACTCTTCCAAGTACAGGGGACGGGGTGCTGCTGCTTCAGCCAGACTGTGTGCTCCCAACTCTTTCTCTTCCCAGCTTAAAGAGGGCCCCACTAGCTTCCAGGGAGGGGACTGCCATTGGCTCCCTGAGGAGAATGTGCCTTCTCTGGTGATAGATGTGAGAAATCGAGAGCCTTCTGAATTTCCCTAACCCTGCTCTCAAGGGAGAAACAGACTCAGAACTGTGGGCTGTCCTGGCGCCTCTGACTAGGAGGGCCAGAGCCAGGGCCAAAGCTGGCAGGAGGTTGGAGGAGCCTAAGAGAAATGTCAGCCTCGCCTCCTGGCAGGGGCCCTGGTGATGGCAACAGTCTGCAAGCTGGTGTCTCGGGAGCCTCTGCAGAGCACAGTGGTTTGACCCTTCGCAGTCACACTCTGTTCCACTGGCCGCTTACATAAAAAGGGTCTTCTGGCTTCTGACTCTTCCTGCTTCCTGACACCTCGGCTACCTTCCTGCTGATGGGCGTCCTTTTGAGGAGGCCATCCTCAGCTTGGGTCCTACTAGGGCAGGGAGGGAAAAAATACTGGGAAGGTCATGACTGGTCCCCCAGATTATCTTAACAGATCACGCAAAACATGCGTGATTTCCAGACCTTTCTTGTCATGTTTTCCCAAGGACTTGGAGTGTCTTGGATGATGAAATAACCCTCATCACCCCCTACTCCTCCCAATCTTCTGCCTGCTCTGCTTCCTTTATGGACAGCATGCGAGAAGGGCATGGGCATGCTAAGTAAAGCTAAACCAGGAGATGGAGATGGCTGCTGGGTCATCACAGGACATATATATGCAGATTTTATTTTTCCAAAACAAAAACTGGGATGCTGGACCCACCACCAGGCTTGTGTTGAGGGGAATTCACAGGCAAAGGACAAGGCTACACCTGAGAAATCCAGTATTTTCTTTCCAGTGCCTTATCATCCATCGCCACGTCACCCCATCACCATGCACTGGAGGAGGGGCTCACACAGGGGGCCTCACACCTGTCAGGTGGGGAATCCCCCACCATCTGCTGTGTGGGGAAGCCCAAGGAGGCCCGGCCTGGCCAGGGACTGCGCATTACTCCAGGCACCTCCTTCAACTTTTCTCTTTCATGAAAGTATACTACTTTTCCCATTACAAAGTAAAGCAGGGCAGCATGTGTGTTCAGTATGAAAAATACAAACTGAAATGGGGACAAGAAGAAAATACACCCGCAGGCAGTGCAGCATTTCCGTGTATTTCTTGCCAGAGTTGCCTGTGCTTGGAACTTTTGCTTTTTATGTAGTTATGGCCATACTAGATACCACAGAACTTCATAACCAACTTTTTCCCCGTAGCCCAGGTGAGTCTTCCTCATAATGCTGTTCAAAACACCACACAGCCTTCTCATTTCCTCTGTATACATCATTGAGTAGATGGATCATTTGCTTAAATCGCTTATTTTTGGATTTGTTGTTGTAGTCTCATCGTTTGAATAACACTTCAGTGGCCATCTTTATTCATAAAGCTTCTTTCATATTTAGGATTATCGGCTAAGCTAGATTTCCAGAAGTGGAATTATAGGGTCTACAGGTCTAAACACATCTGAAGCTCTGAAAACACTTTGCCACGTTGCTTTCCAGAAGGCTCTGTCACACTCCTCCAGCTGTGTGTGTCCTTCCATGGCACCCCCACCCAGCGAGAAGCTGGTGAAGTGATGAGGGCACGGCCCTTTCAGTCTAACTCGTTCATAAGTCCTGGCGAGACGCGTGGCTGGGAGAGGATAGGCTTGTCGAGTATGTCCGCTTCCTGCTGCGGGCCAGGTCCCTGAGAGTCGTCACCCCACTCAAACCTCACAAAAGAGCCCCCTGTTTTTCTGGAGGAAACTGAGGCTGACAGGAGGCAAACTGTCCAGTGTCACCATACCTGACAGGACTGCGCGAGTGACATGGTGGTGGGAGCACGCCCTTCTCAGGTACAGAGAGCTTACAGGGCTCTGAAGCCAGTGGGGGGACTTCAGGCCCTCGGTGAGAGGCTCGCTGATTCGGTTGTTCAGGGTGAGAGCAGACACTTGACATTCTTGGGTAAGTCCCGCAGCCTCGGCTGCTGTGGAGGGACTGCCCTCAGCTCTGACCAGGTTTAGACCGGGAAAGGGAGGCCGGAGGTGGCAGCCGCCCCAAGACTGATCTCCATGGGATCTAGTCTCCAGGACCTCCTACTACAGGTGCCTGAGGGCCAAGCAGCTGGACTGCTCTGTTCTGACGCCTACACCAGGGCTCTTCCCAGATGGTAGTGGTGGTTATGGCGAGGCAGGTTTACCCCATAGCAGGCATTCAGGGGGTGCTCCCCTGGCCCCAGCACAGCTGCTGAGTTCATCTGGGTCAGGTGCTGGCCCCTGGTGGGGGATCAGGAGCCCTCTGACTCTGTGCCCACTCCTTTCCTGCCTTGTGTCTTCCAGGTTGCTCCTCGGGACCCACAGTCTCATCGTGCGCCACACGGAGGATGGCAGAGGGTACATACAGGTGGTGGCTTGGCTGGTTGTCGACCTCCCGACCGCTAGAGCTCCAGCAATGTGAAGCTTTTGTTTGGGTTCCCCCACCCTTTAGCTTTGTTTAATTTTTTTTTATTTTACTTTTTTGTCTTTTTCTTTTCCTTCCCCTCCCCCCCCCCCGCCCCAAATTTAAACAGTTAAGACATCAGAGGACAGGAAGTTATACTATGGACAGGCACCAGTTTCTTTAAAGAAATTCAATATGGACAAAGCCTATGTATAAATTTCATTTTTAATTTTTATAAGGGGCTAGGGAGCGATTTTGTTTTTGTCCTTTATGTTCCCTGTCTTCTTTCTTTTACCCATCTCAGTCTTCTTATAACACCTCACTTCCCCAGAGAAGGCCTGCCTCTCCATGAGAATTTGGGGATTTCTCCTGGAATGGGGGGCATGAAGACACAAAGAGGCTGGGCCACCTCCCACCAGATGCAGGAACTGCTGGACTCTGGTGAGCTGCTCCTGATCAGCTCCTGGGCCTTGGAAATGATCAAAGGCAAAGAACCGCCTGGAAGAGGAAGAAGACCAGTGCTGCTGGTCTCAAGAAAGAAGGGTTTGTTCTCTTTAAGCTGTTGGAGGCCCAGGGCCGCATCAGGACTTACAGTAGTGGGAATCGGTTCCCTCTTCTGCCCTTTGCACCTGGGAGCTCCGTGGCGGGAGGGACAGAAGGGGGCCATCTCCGACTCCCTGGTGGCTGAGCACTGCCCTGCCCAGCTCTGCAGGCCTACCTTTCTGTTAGTGAGTGATCTTCCTCCCAGAGGAATATCCCCAGGAACAAACTGTCGTGCCAAACCTCTGCCTGGGACACAGCTTGGTCTTCAGCAGGCACCTGTCACTCATGTGCGGTCCTCACCTGTCACCTATTGCCTCTTGGATCATCTTCCCAGATGTGCCCACCAAGTGTCCAGGGTGTCACAGAGACTGCCTGAGTCCCCGGGGTCCACTTGTGACCATTGCCACAAGGACCGGGTGTCCTGAACTGGCTGCCACCATCGTCTTCTCACAGTGAAGGGGGTGTGCTGTGCCGGGGCCCTTGGTGTCGCATGGTGACGTGTCAAGCGCCATCTCCCTCAACCCGGGACTTCTGTTAGGTGCTCGCCCTCGGTGTAAACGTGTCTGATGGGACACAAGCAGCGGGCTCGTCACCATAAAGCTTCCCAGCCGTGACCCTGCAGCGGCGCCGCCCGTCTGTAGTGTTCTCCGTGCTCTACCGATGCTCTTGCCGCCCTCATGGGCTTCTGCGCCGGGGCGTTCGCTCCCCGGTGACGAGAAGGAATCACTCCTGTGTTGTCCCTTTTCCCTGGAGCTACTTTGGGTGCTGTCAAGGCTTTTCACTCCCCTAGGGCCAAATTGGAAAGGGTCTTTGAGGAAGGGAAAGACTCTTTCAGTTGTGATTATTTCTGGTGTTTTTTGTTTTCTCTCAACCAGCATAGGATCCATAGGGGCGGTAGTTGAGGGCATTTAAGGTGGTGTGTGACCAACGGGGCGCCCCCCAAGGCAGCAGTCCCCCAGCCCTGAGAGTGGGAGAGGCCAGCGGGCCTCAGAGTGACCTGGGCAAGATGTCTGTGCACACGCTCTAGCCTTTGCTCTGGAGCCTCAGACCCAAGCTTGCTTCCTCCCCTGGGCAGACAGCAGCTGTGCAGCAGGGCCCAGTGAGGCTGCAGCCCTGACCAGCCTCCTTCCTTACTAGAAGCCTCTGCTGTCCCCTGTCTCCTACTCAACCACCTCCCAAGTGCAGTCTCTGTGGCATCTGGGAGAGCAGCACCCCTAATTGCAGTGTGCACGGCCCCACCATCCTGCCTTCCCTTGAGAGCAGCGCATCTCTGTACATGAACAAATGGGAAAAACAGTCCCCAAACTCAACACCCCCCATTCTCCCTGGCTGCCACCCACACTGTAAAGTCCCCAGTGAGGGGACTTTACCCTTTGCTTATCCTTCCCTTTGCCCGCTACAGGTCTCTTAGCTGTTGAGCTGCCCTGCTGCCCCTTGTTCTTGACATCAGATATCCCCTATAGGTCACAAGATGCCCGTATTTGGGGGGAGGTGGCGCCTGGGAGGGGTAGCCAGCTTCTGCACACCTTAGCTGGCAGGCTTCTCCCTGCTGGTTCTTGCTGGTGGGGGAACCTCCTGCCCCGGCTCACGAGGGTCAGCTCATATCCCCAAGTGCCTGCCTTTCCTCCCTTCCTCGCCTCCCCAGTTCACCCCTCTTGGCCCACTTCAGGCCCCCAGCCAGCAGGTGGGAGTCAGCCCTAAGGACAGCGACTCTGCCATGGTCAGCAGACTGGGCTTGGGCCCCAGCGGCTCCTGTGTGATTTGCGGAGCCACTGTCCACCTGTAGCCATCGCGGGTCAGCTCCCAGCCTTTCCTTCTTCCTCTCCACCTGGGTCGCACATCATCCCAGCACCACCAAGTTCGTCGGGCCTGTCTGAGTTTTGGGGGTTTCCAGACCTCAAGATAGCAGTTACTCTTTTCTTGGGTCCATGAAAAGAAGAGCCTGTTGGAGGAAGTTTCTGGGCCTTGGCCCTTGTTCCCCCTCAGTGAGAGAAATCAGCAAGACAGATCATAGTGCCTTATTTCTTTGTCCCTGTGACCAGGCCTCTGGTGCAGTTGGAAGTGTGTGGCTCCTTCCTTCTCCCTGTGTGTCCATCTGTCACTTCAGCTCCCACTCCGAGTTAGCCATGTGGAGGACTAGCCCCCCGCCTTTGCCCTCCCCCACCCTTTTTGAGGGTTGTAACCAGGCATCTGTCTCCCCACCCACCCCCAGGGCACTTACTAGCAGCTTTAGCTGAGGACAGAAAAACTGCTTCAGACATGGGCGCACTCTCTGCCTCTTACCTCTAGCCAGGAGGATGCTGCAGTCTGTTCATTCAAGGCTGGCTCCATCAGGCCCTCTTCTGGGCTCCGGGGACTGAGGTCGCAGGCCTTAGCCTCGTCTCATCCCAGAGGCATTGGGACAGGAGAGTGGGAACTCTCCTCCCACCCAGACGTGGTTTGCCCCATGGCTGCCTTTCTGAGGGAGTGTATTAAATGTTTACTTAAGAAATACCCTGTTTACAGCTGGAGGAGAAACGTGCCCAACACGCGAGGAGATCTGACGCTGCACAGGGCCTGCCTCCTTCGTGGCACTATGAAGGCCAAGGTGCCAGGGCTGGGCACGCGCCTGCACTCCCTCTGCTCCCTGACCCTGCGGTGCTAAGACCACTCGCCACCTTCCTCACAGCCTCCTCACCCTGGACATTCCCCGCTCTCATTCCTTCCCCCAGATGCCCACCCAGCTCCTTAACAAATCACTTATCTCCTAGAAAACCAGTGTTTGGAGCAATAAGATTATTTTTGCTGGAGTCTTTTTCTAAGAAAAGGAAAAGAGCTGGCATCGTGGAATCTTCTGTTGATGCTATTGGCTGTTTACCTTTTTAGAAGACATCTTAATAGGATGAGTGTCTGGGTTTCAGCCTCAGGGTACTTAGGGAAGTTTGGAAAAGCAGGAGTTAGCTCCCCATCCCCAGGGAGGGGACCCTAACTCTACCCTCATTTTGCTCCATCCTACCTGGGCTTCCACCCATGCCCCCCAACCCCCAGCTCCTGCTCTGCCCCCCTCGCACGCCTGGGAGCACAGGTGGTTTAACTCTTAAGTGGGGCTCTTGGGTTATTGCCTGCTTGACACCATTTCTCTTCTAGGCCTGTCTGGTGGCCCCAGAGAGATGCAGCTGCTGGAGTCTCCTAGAAACTGGCCAAGCTCACACTATTCCACTCTCTGGGCTCCCAGGCTTGGGGCTGAGACCCAAAGACACTGGGCTTGAATCACCCCCACCCCACCCCCACACACACACTAAGCGGAGGCGTGGCCTTCGGGACAGTGCTGGCCGGCTCTGGCTCCCTGCTGGAGCTGGGAGGGCAGAGAGCTCCTGCCTGGAGAGCTGCCCTCAGAGGGAAACCAGCAGGTGTGACGTGAAGTGGGCTGGCATGTGCCTCGCAGCCACCCTCCAGAGATGACTCACTCCACTGCCGCTGCTTGCCCAAGCCCCCCAAGACTGCAGGGGTTTACAGAAAGGAGGCCTTAACCTCCTGTGGAGAAACCACAGGAGGAAGGGAGGTTATTTAGGGACATTTTAAATCTTATGTGCCCCAGGGGCCTCTTTCCACCTAAGCAAGGGAGTACTTGCAGTGATTTAGCAATCTTGGGGGGCCGACTTGGGTGTGAGGAGGTTTTAACCCAGGCACAAAGTTAGTTTCAAATACTAGTTAATAAATCTATTTTTCTTTATTTTCTTTTTTGCACAGAAGCTGGTAATCTAGGACCTACGTGTGAACAACTTTATATGACTATTTTTTGTACTTGGTTTACTTGGGTTGGTATGATACATTCTATTTAAGTTCCTTGAACACTGTGGATCCCTATTGTGTATGAATGACTGCGGCTTTGTAAATTAAGGGACGTTTGTGTGAATAAAGTTATTTGATGGGGTCAAAGAAGCCATAACTCATTTGAAAACGAGTGCTTTGTGGTTTTGTCACCACCCGTTTGGGAGGGGGGACATCAGCTGGCCCACAGCGCCTGGCTCCAGGCGGGCAAGAAGGCCACTCAGCTGCTGGATGCGGCCTTGACTGTCTCCCCGCTGCACCTGGGGAGCCGGAGCCCGCACCAAGCCAGGCCGCCCTTCCGAGGGCCCAGGACCTCCGCATCACTGCCAGCCCAGACATACCAGTGGCCTTCAGCTGTGCTCCTGTAGTCCTCCTTCGGAGGTCTTTACTACAGCAGTAAGAGGGGTCTTGTGACGATAACGGGAGGGGACTTTCTTGAAAAGCTAAGCAAGGAGCTAGGTTCTCAAGCAGGGTGACGACTCTGGGCTGAGGGGGTGGCACCCATGTCTGCAGTGCCAGGCCAGAGTAGTTGGCCTGGGGGTGGGAAGAAGCTCTTCAGTCCCTAAGGGATGAGAACCGGCATCTACTAAAGACTTCTGGTCCCTTCTCCCTGGGCTCTTTGTGCACCGTTTTCGCAGATGAGAGAGCTAGAGCCAGGAGGAGCCCAAGCTGCTGGGGGGCAGCTTGCTGGCTGGGAAGAAGGAACAGCCCCGTGCCAGCCAGGACAGGCGACTTCATCTCTCTGCACCTCTCCTGTGTGAAAGGAGGTGTGATGTAGTCTCCTCCTGAGCAGCTTATGAGCTCAATTCCTAAAGTTGAATATGAACCTTACTATTGGGTCTGGCACAAGGTGGGCTCTCAACAAATGGTTCTGTAGATTCCTTTTCCCAAGAGCCTGCTGGATGCTGTCCTGACTCAGCACCTCACAGCTCAGCAAACAAAGCTCATCAGACTGGTGAGGGCTGATGTCTGACACGGAGCCCACCACTCAGGCTTTTCCTGAGGAGACCTGTGAGCCCGGGAATAATAAAACTGGGAGGACAGTCAGGACTTTGGAATGTGTGTGAGAGGAAAAGATAAGTCCGGCTTCCTGCCTAATCTGCATTCCAGGCCTGGGCCTGGTGTCCATTGGCTGCTGGTGAAGCGTCTTCCAAAAGAGACTTCTGTGCTTGGCCTGCACAGCGGCCCGGGGCTGAGGACAAGCCCGCAAGTTTGTTTTTGTGTTAGCTTTGTTGAGATAATTCACCCATTTGAAGTGTACACGTCAGAGCTTTTAAGAGTATTCAGTCATGCAGCCGTCACCACTATCTGCTTCCGGAACATTTTTACCACCACAGAAGAGAACCCCATGCCCATGAGCCACCCCTTCCCACCCCTCCCAAACACACTCAGCTCCAGGTGGCCCCTCACCTACCTTTTGTCTCTGGATCGGCCTGGGCCACATCACCGCCTGTCAGCGGGATCATACAGCTGAGTGAGGCCTTTTGTGTTCTCAGGGCTCATCCATGTCCTGGAAAATCATCTTCCTGACGCCTTCATTTTCTCATCTGCAAAGTAGTAAACACCCACCCTCCCGGAGGGTTGGCAGGACTAAAGGTTCTCATGCGAAATACAAAGGGTGAGCAGCTCCCTGTCTTGTGACCCCTTCCTGCGAGTTCACTGGGGTAGGAAAAGGCCGGGGCACTCACAGCTTTGGGCTTGGGCCACATGAGGAGGACACAGGGCACCTCACTTCTGAGTGCCGGACCGCACAGGGGAGGTGTAAGCAGGGTCTGGTGCCCAGGACCGGGCCAGTGCCCACTCCAGTGGAAGAGGTCAGGCAGCCAGCCCCTCCCAACCTGCTCCAAACATTCCTTCCAGCGCTCATGAGCCAGACAGGCCAGGTGCAGGGGAAGAACTCAAAGACCTGCAGGGCCTCATGGTGTGCCAGATCTGAGAGCAAAGCTCTGGGGCCTTGCGGAGACTTGCAGGAGGAGGGGAGGTCTGATGGCCGCACAGGCCCAACCCTCTGTCGGACCTGAGCTCTGGCTCTCCAGGCCTGGAGGCTGCACCCTAACAAAAAGTAATGGGCGTGACACCCTCAGCCTATTGCTTGCCTTTCAAATGGAAAGTAGCAGTATCTCCCTCTCCCCAGGAGGTCTTTGCCTCATCAGGTCCCACCTGAGGGATCCAAAGGAGGGTCTGTGCCCCACCCTTCAATCCAGCCTCCACACACCACCACAACAGGCCATGGAGCCAAGCCCTCGCAGGCTGTCATTGCACCGAGTGTGTTAACCAGACTCTCCTCGTGGCTTCCAAGGTCACCTGTCTCCTGCTCACTCCTTAGACCCGCCAGCACCTCCTCAGGCTCCATCCTGTGTGTTCCTGCCCTTGTTGCTTTCTTGAAGCACAGAGAACATTCCACCTCCTGGCCTTTGTGCTTGCTGTTCCCTCTGCCTCTCATGTTTTTCTTTGTGCCTTCATCCAAGGACTCTGCTTATGTTCCCAGAGCTTTCCTGTCCCCGTATTTCAAGAAGCAATGCTTCACATTCACCATCTCTTCAATATGCTTTCTCCTCAGCACTAGCAGGTTTTATGCAATACACATGCAAGTGTGTGTATCTACAGGTAGATAAATTCTCTATACCCTTAAGCAGAGCCTGACATGGCCTTAGTAGGCATTCAGCACACATGGATTAGGTAGATGGAGAAGAGGGCTGACATCAATAGGAGGTGTTTATAGTGACATAAACTTGCTCAGGAACCTTCGGGTAGAGGCAGCCCAGGCATGAACCCAGGCTCCAGGGGGCACACCCTCTGCCTGGCGGGCAGTTTCTCCATTCCCGAGGTTTATCTACACTGCATTTCATTTCTGCCAACCCCTGAGACGTAGGAATAAACCAGCTACTTGAGAAGTTGCCAGATGTAAATGATGATACTGTCGAGGTTGGATTTCATTCATCTGGAACAGGGATGGGCAAACTTCTGTCGCAAGTCCAGAAGTAAATATTTCAGGCTATGTAGCCATCGGGCCCCTGTCGCAGCTTTTCAACTCCAGCGGCCATAGACAGTATACAAACAAGCACGTGTGGCTGTGCGCCAGTAAAACTTCACAGACACTGAAATTTGCATTTCAGATCATTTTCATCAGTGTCACAAAATACTATTCTTTTTTATTTGTCCTCAGCCATTAAAGAATGTGAAAACCAAAAAAAAAAAAAAAAAAAGAATGTGAAAACCAAACCCCCTGAGCAGCCGGGGTCTTGCTCCCAGGAGATGCCCCTGGCGGTCAGGGTGCCCCAGGATCCAGCTGGGTGTGTCCCTCCACACTTGCACTTACAGCTCCCTGGCTAGAACTCAGCACATGGCCACATCTGGTGCTGAGGAACTTGGATGAAGGGGGAGTGGCCTTGTGCCTAAGGCAGAAGGGAGAGGAGCTTCAGGTGGGCTGCAGTCTCCTGGCTCCATGAGTGCGCCTCTGGCTGCTTCTAGTAAAGGTTAAGTGTTACCATTTTTTTTTTTTTTTAAAGATTTATTTATTTATTTATACAAGCACTGGGTACAGTCAGAAGCGTGGGAGGGTGAGAGAATTCACCAGAGCCAGAGCAGGGAGCAGAGCAGGCAAAAGGACCGAAGTACACTGCTGAGGGGAGCAGCGGGCGGCAGGAGAGGTCTGCGCGCCATGCGGGACCCTCCTCCGGTGGCCGGGAGCAGCCGGGGATCGAACCGGTACTGCAGAGGCTGCGGGCAGCTTCGCAACCAGCGCTCAACCGCTGCGCCACCAGGGAGAGGCCCCAAGTGTTACCATTGTTATAACAGCTCTCAGGCCTGATTCTGAAAAGAAAAGGCCAAGTTAGCCAGAGGGATGCAGTTTCCTTCTTCAGAACTGGGCCGAGGACAACCTGTGTGTGCAGGCGGCAGGCCCGCTGCTGCCAGGACCAGTGTAGACTTGGACTCTTGTCAAGTCGTTTGCTCAGTGACTACATGCTGAGTGCCACCTGCACGTCAGTGCCCTGCTCAGGCTGGGGGGATAGAGGAGATGGGCAGAGAGGCCGCATTTTGTGGTGATTAAGAGAGTGGAGCCTGAGGTGGTACCTGGGTTAGAATCCCAGGCCTTCCACTTCCCATGTGGTTCTGGGCTCTTTGCCTCTGCGTTTTGTTTCCTTTGCCTGTAAAATGGAGAAAGTAATAAACACCACAGGGTTATTCTGAGGGTTAAGTGAACTAATACAAATAAAGTGCTGTGAACTCTTAAAAAAATAGCTCTGATCTTGTTATAGGACAGGGAGAGGGGCAGCCCAAACCCCGCAAACCTGCCTATTCTAAATGGGTTCTGCCATCCGCCGCATCAACACAAAACACATGAGAGTAATGGGAAGGATCTTTAATAAAACTAGGAAACAATACAGGAAAGGCAAAGAGTCTAGTTTCTAAATGAAGCACCCAAAGTTACCCGTCCCCTCGTGGGTAAAAGTCCATCCATATGGGATCGGCCCAGAACAAGGCCCCAAAGCCTGCTACAAGTCTAAAGCATCTTCCAGTGGGGACCCACAGAAAAGGGTCACAAACAACCGGACAAGCCCGGAAGGAAAAGAGCAAAATCAACATCAAGATAAAAGCTGCCATGGTCACCTCCCCATGGGTCTCACCCACATCTGTGTCACCCAGTCCACGACCAAAAGACAAGCGCAGTTTCTTCACGTGTCTCTAGGCTCCATGCGCCTCCTCCAGGTCTCCTGGCTCCATCCTGCTTCCTTCCTCAGTCTCTTCTGCAGCTTCTCCTCTTCCTGCTCAGCTCCACCCTCCCTTGGGTGGGGCAGGGAACCTCCCCCTTTCCTGGGGACCACCCTGTTGCAATCTCTTCAATGGACTCTTGGAGCTCCCAGTACCCACTTGGCTTTCTTCCTGCCCTCTTGGAATATTCATTAGCACCTACTCTGCTGGGCACTGGAGATTCGAGATGAAATTCATCTAGACCTGCACTCCTGAGTCCTACCGTGTGCCAAGCTTTGTGTTATAAGCTGACAGGACAACGGAGACTAGACAGAGGTGTGGGGTACACAGAAGACAGATGCTGAGAACTTGGTTCAGGCCAGCAGAGTTCAAGGGCTAAGGGTCTTGGGGTTTGGTCCCAGTGCTGTTAGTGGGATGCAGCCTGTGTGATCTGTGCCCCAC